GCTTCCCTAAAGAAGATGGGATCCATCACTGAAGGAATCATGTAACCCAGAGCGCCACGTTACGGCAGCCTAAGCTCCCCAAACATGGCCGCTAATTAAGCTGAAAGTTAAGACAGAAAACAGATCTCAGATTTACCTGATCGAACTTTTTTTTTTTGTCGTCTGATGTAGGATTTAATTGAGAGAGAAAGTGACTGTTTCCTTGTCTATACAGGAAATTTAATGACTTATCAGTCTGCTGCTCCAAATTGGTCTCTATCAGAACCGGAACATCAAGGCATCCAGTGATGCCAGCTGCCTTCAGAGGTGCTAAACATAGAGAAAATATAAGAGAAAATATAATGAAGAACAGTCAAATTTAGCTCTAAACTTGATTCAAATCAACTAAAGTTTTCAGCTCTTTAACAGTTTTCTGGGACTCTGTTCCAGATTAGTGAAGCACATGAACATAAAGCGGCTTCTTCTCCTTCTGGTTCTGGTTCTAGGTGCTCTGTGCAGAACTGAGCCAGAGAAGGTCTGGCCCAGACGGTCTTCCACCTTTTTGTATCTGGGACCTCCTATGGTGCCTTAAATGAAGTTCCCTTATGTCAGTTTTCCAGTTTTCCTCCAAACCAGCATAAAATTCTGACGAGTTTAAATATTAAATTTATTTACTGATTTCTATATTGCAGGTGAAAGCTGTTAACTAAGAGTGGTGAAAGCAGCAGGATATTCCCTCCAAGAAAAGACTTTTTGAAGTTTTCTAACATTTATAGTTTCCGTGGGTTGATTTCAGCTCATAGAGCAGCAGGAGCTTGATTCTTTACCTATACGGCGCTATAAGGTGAATGCACAGGAGGAAAAGGGCGTGCACAGGTGTGGTCTGATGACAGAGTGTTATCTTCATGCACATTTGCCTGCAGATAGACTCTGGTTGTTAGCATTCCTGAAGAAGCGGCGTGTCACGAAGGCAACAAGAGAAATTAACTTTTAAAATCACTAAAATACTTTGACCTCAAAAACTCATTTTTAAACTTTGTAAATTTCTGAAAACTGTTAAAAGAAGTTAATAGTCAGCTTTAGACATTGTAAATTTTTTTCTAGCATATATTATTAATTCTTAAACTCTACTTTTTATATAAACATTACCATCTTTTTTAACTAAACTGAATGACCTGATTATTCTAACTGAGCTTGTAAACAAATCCAAACACTTTCATTTAGGTTTAAAACAACTATTTACATTAATTTGAGGGGTTTTATAAACTGACATGTTATTTATTGACTTCATAATATCTTTTATCTTTTGGGAACTAATGATGAGAAATCCTTAAAGTTGTAGGAAAGTCATATTTAAATGTCAAATCATTCTGGCTAAAACATATAAATAAATGTTCTCTTTATCAAACTATATTGTTTTTTAAAAAATGTCTCAAAAATCTGTTTTCCCCCCCCCATTATCTTATGCAGGCCAGTTAGTTATACTTCAGCCTGAACACCTAAATTCGGCCAATCATATATCAACGGTCATCAGTCAATCAAATTGTTTCGGTCATAGCGTCTTGATTCATGTGTCACAGCTAATATGGAGACTAGGTGGAAATTCAACTGAAGAAACTGATGGCTGGCCTTCATCTACCTGCATCACAGCCAATCAGCTTCAACCACACCTCCATGAAAGCGAATCGGCATCCAAAGCTCATCTTAAAAGGCCTGCGATCCGCAACTCGTCTGCTGCCTGGTTGCGCCGTGTGACTTTATTGAGATGACCCCGTTTGCACCCCCCTCCAGCCCCTCCTCCACCATCGTAGCTAAAGCTTCAGAGCGTCATTCCTCCTGGACTCTTACTGCGTTCCGTGTCTCATTTCAACCGCTCCGACAGAACACCGCCATGTTGAGCCTGGTTCTGCCAGAGGTTTCTTCCCAACGGGGAGATTTTCCTCTCCACTGTCGCTTCATGCTTGCTCATCAACCTGTGTTATCCAAACTGGACTTCCATCTTCCAGGTCCCTGAGTGAAGCTCTAGTATCAGCTCACGCAGTCCAGTGGATCTCCCCATAAAGCTCAGCAGACCGTCTCTCTAACCAGCAGTCTACAGACTGACCAACTTCATCTATCTCCACTCCACCAGTTTCAGGCCTGGGGGGGAAACAGCCCTGTTCTTTGCTCCTTTTCATACATATGAAAGCAAAATTCAGCGCTATGTTTCCTGCTGAGGTCTGAGCTCCAAAAACAAAGTAATTGTATAAATAAAATTCTTCTAATTGTCTTTTTCTGTGAGTTTTTCCAGATTGAAACAATATTATCATGATATTGCAACATCACTGCATATAGCGATATTTTCTCCAGCTATCAAATTAAATGTATAGTTAAAAAATCAAGTGCTGTATAGGCGGGCACTCCATCTGTAA